GCTTTTGGCTCGCCACAGATTGAAAACTCCTTCTTGTGTTTTGTTGTTGTCCTTCCTGCGTACCTCTGATTAGCAAATTTCGTTACGTACGGTGTGAACGAAGTTTAACAATAATAAATACATAATAAAAAAGAGATACAAAATTTGCCCATTCAATGAACGCTGAAGGCAGATGCCAACCTCGCAAACACGGTGCGGTGTACGAGCGTTGTATTGTATTTGTTTCTATGTTGATGTTTGGCAAGTAACATTTTTTAAACCTGCAGTATGCTGCTGCTGCCAATGGTGTGCTGGTCCAAGAGGGGACTCTACACGAGCAGATCACCGACTGGTTTCATAAACCGAGTTGCAATTTCTTGGGAGCTGTGCAGAACACATGTTAGCTTTCAGGCGTTATATAATCGAGGCAGGGAAGGAGATGGCTTGATATAAGTACTGGGGCCAATATTTGATATGATTAACACTGGAATGGAATGGGCTTTACATAGCGTGTTTAGCCACTATTTGGAAAGGTTACTTTTTAAAAGTAATTGGTCTCTGATTATAATTATGTATTACTCTCGGTTTTCAAAGTCTTGCAAAACTTTTTAATTTGGTATTTTCAAGCATTACATGATTTAAAGGTTAAATTTGAAGTATGCTCAGTGGGGCAACGGAATTCTATTGGAGCCCGAAGTCATTATTATTGCTTACCCAGAAAAGCCCCACTGAGCCTCAATACCCTTTTTTGGAGAATCCTGCCAAGTTGATTTGCAGTCAGAGTTGGCTATTGATATGTGTTTGTCAATTAAGTATTTTACAAGGCTTTTTTGAATTTGGCAAATGTTGAGTGATGCCAGGATTCAATGGCCTACAGTTCATGAAATGGCAACCTGGGATCGTTAACACCCGCTGTGAAGCAGACATGTATTTTGGGGTTAATACTTCTGCAGTATTAACCACGGTGGCCTGTTGGGTTATTTCAACTGCCCACACATTACAATGGTGGTTGCAACTCTGACATTACCCAAAATGATACTCGTACTGTGTAGGGCTTTGTTGGGTGATCTGTAATGCCATCGACTGTGGCTGTCCTTGCATTTATCCACTCTGCGGAAATGAATAATGAGTTTTAAAACAGTGAAGTAACCACGGAAAGTAATCAACTCTTCCTTGGTAAGTAATGAGCATCTGATTATACATTGAAATGGAAGAAATCACAACGATTATCTATACTTGCCTTTGCAAATCTGATTACTTGTAACAAAGCAAATAAATCACCTCTTTAGTTTGAGTTTATTTCATTTGTTACACGGATGATCCTGTTTAGCTAGTTGCCCGGATATTTTACAAGGAAGATCCGTGGTGCGTGAGCATAGCAGCAGCAACAAAAACGAAGACAAAAACATGAACATTGCACACAACGAGTCCTTCCTTAATATTCTTAGGTTTTTTCGGTAAAGTCACGTAGGTAAAACATCAAAATTAATAAAAATAAAATAAAGATCACGACGTTTCGGAGGCAACACAAGTCTCCGTCCGAAACGTCCTGATCTTTATTTTATCTTATTTTTTATTAATTTTGATGTTTTACCTACGTGACTTTACCGAAAAAACCTAAGAATATGAATCCTTGCAGTCACGAAAGCTTCAAATCTAGAATCCTTCCTTAATATTGCACAACTAACAAACGAGTTAGTCGAAGGTCGTAAGCAAAGCACATGCGAATAAAAAAAACCCTGCAAGTATAGAATGACAGCAAGAAGTGCAAAGAGAAAGGTAGTTACATGTGCAAGTAAGTTCTATATTGTAATCTAAGTGATATAAACACATACAAATTGCAAAAAAACCCCGTGCAATCATGTGGGAGCAATTGGCACCAGAATAAAGTTTGTACAGGGGCAAGTATGCTCTGTGTTTTGTTCTAACAGGGACATAAAGAGGGGGAGTGAAGGGAGAGAACCAAGTTGTAGATGAGTGGCAAGGAAATACTTTTTTTTACCAGGCAAGGTTTTTGTAAATTCTGGAAAACCAGCAATAGTTCATCTCTTGTTGTTATAAGCTCTTGTTAGCTGATCTTTCTCCTAAATCAGCAGTTGTCCTGCTGTATCGGTTCCGCCTGATGACGGTCGCTTGTGTTGCGATCGAAACGTCGTGATCTTTATTTTATTTTATTTCTTCCTACGTGACTTTACCGAAAGAACCAAAGAGTATGGATTCCTGCAGTCACGAAAGCTTCAAATCAAGAATAGTTGTTCAGCTCAACTGATTGCTGATGAGCCCATCGAGGGCAAAACTGATCTGGAGTTTTCACTTTTAAACAAATCCCTTTGATAAAGAGGTCTGGAAGGCCACCTGGAATATATTTTTTTATTGTCATGCTTAATTTAGAATGGAAGGTTATTTACTTAATGTTTCGCCCACAATGCTCACAAGGAGCGCTTGCTGTAGCTTTGATTACCATGCTGTGTTACTCAGAAAGACTGCTTTACACTTGTTCTTTGCTGTAGCAATCAAAAATCTGTTTGAAATTTCCATGTTTTAATTTTGTTATTCTTTAAATGTCTGCTTAGCTTTGGCGCGTAAAAAAATGTATACACGGCAAGCAGACGCGCGCACCGACAGTCACGCAGACGTGTGTGTAGGCATGTGAACATGCCGTATCTTACACGTGCATAGACGGGCGACCTCCTTACCCTGACGATTACATGTGTAAAGAAGTTCCTTGGTGACATCCATTTTCAGAGGGAGGAGAGCTTTTATTTCTCCAAACGTATATACAGTCGGAGTGTAACGCAGGAATCCATACTCTTTGGTTCTTTCTATCTACATGACTTTACCGAAAGAACCAAAGAGTATGAATAATGCTTGTACAGTCTTGTACGAGCATTATGTTGTGATTGAGGGTAGGGTTTTTTTGTAAAAATCTCATCTTTTTGTTTAATTTTACCATCTCATCTGTATTGTTTGTCAGTTTTTTTGTGTTGTTTGTTGGGCAGGTTTTGTTTGCAATGTTAACCTAGATTTTTTTACAGCATATAATTCCGTATAATTTGCACAACTCGTAAATAATGTATTGTTACTCGCGCATTTTAAGAATCTATTTAAATTGATGACAGTAATACCTCGATATTCGAATATTTGAGGTACGGAGTTTCAGTATAAGGAACTTTGGATGTGTGACCATTATTTTAATTTAACAAAAAATGTAAACGAACAAAAAATAACTATTGCCCATCTACATTACTTCATAAATAAAGAATCAAATTATAACAAGGTACGTTTCTTGAGTGTTGTGCATCGCGATGGGTCGTAGAATGTTTGTTTACGTTTGTCTTGGCCAGTCAGCGTGCAGCAAAGCAGTACGTTACGGAGCTGTAGTATTTGGTGGTGTGATTATATTTGACAGTAGAGTGCACTGTTTATTTAATCATGTTAGTTTTTTTATTATTTCAGTACTGTACAGTATAAAATTTATATTTCTTAATATACATTGCATTTGTTTACAATATGATTGGTAAGATATGAAGTGTTCATAGAATGAAATTGTAAGTTACGGAGGCTGGGGACGCATCATAGTACTAATGCTATTAGTAATTCAACATACGAAGTTTCAATGCTCTAACGAAGCTCCAGGAATGCATCTACTTCGTTTGTATAGGTATTGCGGTATTCGTTACATCGTTAAATGCATGCTGGATATATACGTGCGTAATCCTGTCCGTTCGGTGCTGAGGTTGAAATGCCTGACTTGTAATCGGAAGGCTGCAAGTTTAAATTCCTTGTGGAGGTCAACTCTAACAGTCGTCCTTCTGAAGTTGATAAAAAAGAAGTACCCCGTCAAAAGTCAACAGTGATCGCCCTTTGGAAACACTGGCCCTCACCCTAGGAATGTGGCTTTTTTTGGAGAAAATAAAGTGTCAAAGATGCAAGGTAACAATCAGCCACATTAAACTAATGTATAATTGCCTACTCAGTGGAACCGTGTGTATGTATCCCTCTTAGTGTTGATCTCTGCTGGTGTCGTACCTAGGCGTTTGTCATTGTCCATAACCGTGCAGCTGGGTGATTTTAGCAGCATGTTGGCATTCCTGCCGACGCCCACATGTGTTTGTAGTTGCAGGGATGTGCCCAATGTTGATGTCCTCAGTATGTGTGTGTGTGTGCATAACCTATAAGTCAACTCGGCCTCAAATGAGCACCCGGTGCTTGGTGTTGGCCATCCCACCCCCTCATGTGCTGTGCCGGCCTTCATAGGTGCTCGCTAACAGCACTTGCCCTAACCGTCTGTTAAAGTCTATATGGGGGATCTTTGTCTATAGGGTAAATGTAATATAAGTTGCAGAGCATAATGACTGTGTGCGAATGTTGGCATACGCCCATGCGCGTGTGTCGGCTTGTACACTCACGTGCGTATACACACGTGTGCGTATATAGTTAGCATAACTAGGTGTGTCTGCCCGTGTGTTGCTCGTACATGTGTGTAATGTCATAATTATTCGCAGCCCATTGTCAATCCCCTGCTGGATAAAAGCCTTCCTATGCATAGTCATGCATGGGGGGTTGTTTGACCATACTTCCCCATCCTCGTCAGTACCTGGTTAATGTGAAGCAGGGGTTCAGGACCAATTAAGATACAACTCTGCACGGATCTTAGCCGTGGTCGTGTATTGAACGCAGATTGTCAGACTCATGGCACAGCACTGTGCCTCTGTATTGTGTGCGTGTGTGATGGGTAATCATGGTGCAATGGCTCGCGCACTTGTAAGATCATCCCAGCTACTATATGCGATTCGTAGTCATGATGCACAACACTTGCGTTGATTAGAATCAAACCTGCCCTGCGCCTCGCGGAGGTCAACACACCCTTATGTGAATGCATTGTGTGAACGCAATCACTGGGGTGAGGGGACAAAGGCGGCGTGGCGTGCAAGATGCCGATTGCACCTCCCCCATCGTGTGCCATGCCGCCCTGAACAGGTGTTCTCTGTGTGCGCACGCGCGTTCCTTTGCGTGTGCAGGTCGAGTGTTTGCCAACTCTGACGACTCGGTGTGTCTACTGGGAATGCAGCGCCGAGCCATCGTGTTCCAGCCCGTCAACTCGCTGAAGGAGCGCACCGACTTTGAGTGAGTTGCGAAAGGGGGTCGAGTTAAAGCGACGTTCCTAGCGTACACCCCCATGCAGTCCCGTGAATGGGCCCCTGAGCCCCCTTTTATCCTGGGGTCGATGTTATCAAATCCACTGGTTCGTGTTTTTCTCTTTAACCTGTTAATCGAGAGCCCTCACTCATACTTTTGTTGATCTTGAACACCGTACGGGAACGTGGGCTGCGTGGTGGCCCCTGAGAATGTGGTACAGAAGGTAAGTAACTGATCTGTATCTGGGTTTTGAGTGTTAATTCACCCTATTTGTGGGTTTTTGTTGGCTGAAATAAAAGTAAAATAATTATAAGCTCTCAATCAATCCTGTCACCTCTGTAGAATAGCCAAGGGTTAATATACCAACTTACACAATGCATCATCATCAGTCAATCAAAGGTGTTGGAAACCAACATTCACATCCAGTATCTCGACTGACTGAACGTGTTTAACACAGCCATCTCGCCAGATTTACAGCATATCACCAAAGCTTTGCTTGACAATACTCGACGTCAAATTAATAGGACATGCCGTTGTAGCGACACACACCTTACCATGGATGCCTTCCTTTTCTTAGATCCTGCAACTTTTGCACAGTGGACACCCAAACTCCAGGGTCTGCTATCCCAGTCTCATCTTTTCCTTGGTTGCCAACTTCTTGATATCTCTCCGTACTGTATCCATACCCACTCATTACAACATATGGTTCCTAATTAAATCTACAATGGTTTTTGTGACATTCTATTCCAAACTTCATCCTCTGCATGCCCCCATATTCAATGCTCAGAAGCCTTTTTTCAGTTTTTTTCTTGAATTCCTGCTCCCTGACCTGGACAGAAATACAAACTTTATCCATGGCCAAAACACCCATCTTTTAACACTACGGTTGACCTGTTCAACCTTACAAAGTGGTTTATTTAGTCCAAAAAAGATATACCTTAATTCAAACATAATAACGCGTTCCAGACGGCCTTCACTCAACGCCCGGAGAGGTGCACATTATTGCCGCAACACATTGCCTCTAACGATGTATTCCTTCATATTTCAGTGAACCAAGAGTCAGTGGGTTGCGGTTCATTTGAAGAGTAGATTTTTTAAAACTTGGTTTTAAATATAGCAGCCTCTTGTTGCGGCAAATTATTTCATGTTTAGTTCACTCTTACAGCATGGTTGGCTACGTATGATGCGAAAGAAATTCTACATACATACATAACATTCAAGGCTTCAAAATCAAATATCACCAGTTCATGCACATAATTAGGTGCATGTATTGTGAGCATAAGCATACATTTCAATTGATGTAATGATAATGCCTCTTTACACCCCCTACTAAGCACGCAATCTAAGACTGATTCCATTGCTGTGTTGTTCATGGGACGGGCCATCGAGTCCTTGGCCTAATCTCTGCACCGAGGGTGGTGCTCAGTGTGTAGTCATCCCATATGCATGCTCGGAATCGCCGTAAATATTATTTTCTCTCTTTGCGCCGTATGTTTAATTCCATTACATTCAATGTCTGCGCTTTTTTTACCCTCCCTCTCGCACACATGCACACCTCGCACTGGGGTTGCGGTACTCACTTGGAACATGGCCGTGGAAAATAAATTGCTGGGTCGTGACTTGACCCTCGATGAACACGTGCGACGCTGGTCGGGTTGGTTTTGCCATACCGTGTGCTCTGTGAGTTCGCCGCGTGAGCAGCGGTGAGAGGACCCCGTTTGAAAAGTTATTGCCATGGTGGTATGGTGGCGAGATGTTACCTAGCTCGCCTGGTATACAGGAGGTTATGGGCTCAATCCCGACCCTGATGTCTGTATATTTGAAGTTAGCATGTTCTCCCTGTGGTTGTGTGGATTTTCTCCGGGTCCTCCGGTTTTTCTCTCTACACTTATAAACATGCGTGAAGAGTATTGGCTGCTATACATTTCCACATGATAAGCCACTTTGTTGAGCTATCATTTGTGGCCAGGTTGCTACTGAAAATGAGTTATTTAGCTCAGTGGGCCTTACCTGGTGAAATAAATATAGTTTTTTTCGTAAAATAGATGCATTGACAAGTGTGTGCGTGGTGTGTGATGTTATTGCCTTGGCAAACAAAGGGTTGTCCCCTTGTCACTGGTTTTCTAATCCCATTTTTTGGGGAAGGTTTTGATCAATTTGGCTGGTTTTCTATAGGGTGAGTCCCAAATAACAACAGGATTTTGACTGACATTTCATTGACATAAGATCATTTTTACGAGTTACTTTGACCCCATACTAAAGATTGATGGACAAAACGAATGCAAAATTGTAAGGAGAGCAATACAAGTTACTTATTTCAATCTTAGTTGGAAAGTAATCTAGATTTGAAGTTTTCGTGACTGTAGGGATCCATACTCTGTGGTACTTTCGGTAAAGTCACGTAGGTGTAGAGGTGTATTTGTAAAGGTGTATTGGCACGGATGGGAAACAAACACAAGGGGCGTGGTTATGGCCGTACACAGAGAAGGTGCTCACACCGACGTCCGCACCTGCATCCCCCACGACCCCCCCGGGAGCCGATTGCTATAAAAGGTGGTGAGCCGGAGGGCTTGAGGTCGAGTGTTAGCTTTAACCAGCGAAGATTGAAGACCAGCTAGAGTAGGCCCCAGAACTCCCCTGGCTCGCTGTCCTTGTCAGGACCGACCAGGGAAAGCCGGTGGCGTGGCTCCGAGAGCCCAGACTGATGTTCTTATAAGAGCCGGTCTGGAGACTCAGGGTGCCGGGAATCCCAGCTTGACCAGGGCTGGGATAGATAGCCTCCCTTAGCTCTGTAGTGGAGGACCTGGGAGTAGGCTAGCCGGGGTAGACGTTGGGTCTCCCTGTTAAGACGGGTGAAGGGGCCGATACCCCTTCAAGTGTTGTGTATCCCCGGCTCTGTAAATACGTTGGTGTTAATAAATACGTGTGCCTCCAACTACATCGTCCAAGCCTCCTGCAACTTACTACATAGGTATAAAATAAATTAAATCACTTTATTTTATTTTATACCTACGTGACTTTACCGAAAGAACCAAAGAGTTAGTTGGAAAGTGTTAAGAACGCAGCTGGCCAAGATGGAGTGTAGTTATATCTCCTGATGCTTTTAAGATTCTCAACAGGCTGTTTTGAATTGGCTGAGTACTTAAACTAAAAACATGACCCTTGTTTTGAATATATTTTCGAGTAAGGTATAAACAGCGTGAATTATATCAAACATTTACTCTGTTTTTTTTACCAGTGCCGTTCATCTACAGAAACCAATCCCAACGTTAAATAAAGGCAGCCTTTGCCTTTGTTGTTTTATCCAGGTGTAGTCAGTTACAGTATGTTCTAGATGCATGTTGTCGGTTAAACCTTAAAGCAATGTTGTCTGCATGTGCACATGTTGCTGCGCATAATTCTCCCATTACTCTTTATCAGTGGGAAATAACATGATTCAGTAGGCCTTCTTGTACTCAACTGAAAAAAAAGAATCTTTCATCTGTGAAGTACAAAAGGGGCCATTCCTGCTTTATTTAGATTAAAAGCCCATCTTGTTTCATTGTATGAAGTTGTAAAGCATCCCGCCGTATCTGGCAGTGATCTTCACTTCTATAATACCGTTTTTTTTTCGGATTAGATCGCGTAAATATATAAATGTGTCGTTAAACCTGCCACCACCCGACACAGCCAACTAGTAAGGGTTGTCACGTAAACAGAACGTGCCAATTTGTTTCTAGTACAGCACACTGGTGTGTTGGAGAGCCAAGCCACAACATTTAAAATCTGAGTACGATGTTTCGCCAGTAATTACAACTAGCTTCATCAGGCGACAGCCACATTTATATATTTACGCGATCTAACCCAAAAAAACCTGTATTATGGATGATATTGGTCACGAAAGCCGATGTGTTAAACTGATCTTCACTTCTGACATCCCTAAGTCAGTGGTGCAAATACCACAATGCTAAATTACGGCCGTGCACAGCACCAGTGACAATTGGCTGTCTGCATTTGACCTGGGCCCCCTCACATTTGATGCAGCTTCAAATGATACTTGGTGCAGTGTATGGAATGATCACGGTGGTGGCAGTGGTGGCGGTGGTGGTGTGTATAGAACACTAGTACTGGGGAAAAAAAGGCGTCTGTGCATGCCCCACCTATTGTTATCCTCCTGAATAGGTTTTCGCCAACATGCAATTGTTCAAACGGGGGGGGGATCTTTTTATGACAAGGTGATATTGCCACCATTATTATTAAAGGACAACTGTGTTAAGCTTAGTTTGTATGGTGCATACTAATCATGTAATGATTTGCCCGCCCCGTGATTTTTTTCACTTGTCACGATTCATTCAAATGATCAATAATTGTATTGCCATTGTGGCATGTGTAGAATCTGTAGTGGCTAGAGGATTTACATGAATCGAAAATAAGAACTTTCCATGCACACAATTTGTTTGCATGTATCACCAGCATAAAAATTTATTTTAATTGACAATTCGATGCATTGTGGAATGCCTAGCCTCTACCTACTGTTTTGCCGGAGGCGTTCATGTATGGGTACGTGTTAACCCAATTTGTTAGTTTGTCTGTGTGATTGAAATGCTTCCCGCCATGAAGACCAAGAGCAGCAGTGACGTGCAGATCGCTTCTTTTTAGGGGACGAGTGCTTCCGATTAAGCTTGGCTCAGTTCATTGATTTGAATTGTAAAAAAAGTCTTGCTTAAGTCACCGAAGAAAGAGTTCAAAACGAGCAGCATTGTGACTGCTGTTACAACCACGCTAACACATCCCAGCTCGAATGTGTTGTTGTGACGTTAGGGTGATGCCCCACTTGATACTTTTTAATTCGCTGTCCTGATGGGTTTTGTGCTCTGGTAATGACAAATGTGTGCACAAGCCACAGTAAGCAAGTGGAGCCATCTGCAGTTATCTGGATAGCCTCAGGGCCAGGTTGATGGTATGCACTTAAGCAGAGTATGCAGTTAACCACAGTTCACGCTAGCACA